AATCTTCTTTTATAGAAATTCTAATTCCAAACTCATCAAGGGAAAATGAATTAAAGCTTTTATAGATATGCAATGGAATCCGTCTTTTAAGTTTAAACATGTAAATTAGTTCAGCAGGACATTTAAGGGCCCCTATGTGACGGCATTCCTTGCATACCCTTATTTACGCCACTGTGTTTCACACATATTTATCAGCAACATACTTAAAGCAACAAATATGGACCTGTTTCATGCAAAGTCAATACATAACTTTGACTTTTTCAGTCCTCTTCTAGAGAGAAACGTCGCAACTGATACATCAATCAACTTGGATTCAAGCAAATAGCAACTTAAGACGCTGAATCTCCGATGTAGATCCACAAGAAAAGCATATGACAGCTACAAGCTTTTCTAACAACTGGTCTTTGGCTCAACTGAAAAAAAGTTACACAAGTTTTGAAAAACATACTGTCTATAGGGGAATGTATTCCAGCTATAAATAAAGAAAGAAATAATTAGCCTATTATGCAAAAATTCATTTGTGTCATTACAGTTTGCTAAATTCTAGAAAGCTAGTATAATTCAATTAACTCCATTTCAGATTGCACAATTTAATTACATCATTTGTTGACAGCCATAAAAACTACGTATTTTTCTTCTAAAACTTTTTTTTTTTTCAGATCCTGGTACTATTCTAAAATTTATACGCATTTAGATACAATGTTAGATCTTAACTTGCATATTTTAGCTGGTCTCATCTATCCCGCAACTTTGGAATATTACTATATTACAATAATTCTGTTCTTAGAGAATTCCCTGAAAATGAGTAAATTACAAAGAATGGAACCAAAAGATTTCCATAAATTGTAACAAAATGTTTTGCAAGACATCCAAAATTTTTACTTCTTTGTACGAAGTAAAAAGGAAGTATTGTAATCACGAAAAGTTTCAGGCAGCATATTTCAACGAAAATATCCATTTTGGCCGCTATCGAATGCAGTTTAACGATGTTTTTGCGTTATATCTGTACGTAAAGACAGAATAAAAGACTCGTTTCCTCCAAAAAAATTATAAAACTGCTTTAAAATTATTTCTGAAGAAAATTTTTCGTGGCGTCTGTACGTACGTACGTATCTCGAGTAGCCTCAGAACGTTGAAATTTTGTATGTAGGACTGCTATAACATGTAGATGTGCACCTCGTATTTTGGTTGCAATCGGCCGCACCAAACGTTTATAAATATATTTATATATATATCCACTCTGTTACCCGGCTCAGTGATCTCAGTTTCTTTACTCGTATATGTTGTAATTTGTACATTTTTGCTTTAAAAATGATTGAATGGTGTTGTTTATTTCCGGTTAAGGTTTTATGCTTTAGTAAATCTGTATGCAATATTTTTAGAATTATCAACAATTTAAAGTTGTTAAGTCACTAAGCCTTTTTGATGGCGGCCATTGATTGTTACATTTGAAACAGCAGACTAGTGGATTGTGCCAAATCGAGAAACTTAGCTTCGAACAACAAAGATAACGCCTTCATTTATGCCAATTAATCATGCTTAATCCTTTCTGGAATTTTCGAGGAAATAAGTGTTAAGATTTACTTCAAAATTTTTATATAGAAAAGTTGATTTTTTATGTATTTTTGCCTCTGCGAAGTGAGAACTGAATTAATTGAATGAGAAAATACTCAATCGTCTGTGAAAAACCATTTCTTTTTTTGTTTTGTTTGCTTAATTTCTTTTATACATCATTCTAGCATTATTATAGTATTTGAATAGAACATGTGGCAACGATTAGATAATTCTATTCTCTAAATGATATAAATTTTGTGCATTATGAGTTATATAATATGAACGAAATATAATACTGTTAAGTGAATCTAGCACCAGATTGTCGCTATGGTAAACAAATACTAGAGTGAATTTTAAAGAATGCATTTATTTTATTGTGGTTTATGCACTGTCAGCGAAGTAGATTTAATTCAATCCAATAAGTTTAAATGAAATGCAAGAAAAAATGTGTATAATTTAATATTCCGTACAAGGAAGTCATGTGGTGTACACATCAGATGAAGAAATCTGCCAAAGTACTCTCTCTGACATCAGCAACACTTTAGCAACGATTATATGAAACTGGAAATTTATGGTTATTTAGAGATAGTCCGAGTATTACATCACATTATGAAAATTAAACTTGATTACAGATAATCCCCAACAGTTATGCTTTATTTGGTTTAAATAAACAAGGTTATATTGTACATACTTAAAATTTAACTTTCCTCTTTAGAAGGAAATACTATTTTTATACTTCTGGCGAAACAAGCTGGGTATGTGTCTGTCAGCTACCTCTTTTTTTTTTTTTTTTCCCACACACCTATAAAATTTTTACCATCATCTTAAAGCAGGTGTGCTTATTTTTAAGCACACCTGCAAAAAATTACAGATTTTTATTCAAAATTTCCTAGGATATACGTTAATGTACGTTTTGGCGTGTTTTGAAATTTGATGTATTTATTATAAGCGATAAGAACGAAAATGTGGTGTGTGCATTATGTTAAAATTATTTTAAAGTATGAACAACAACATTTTTTTCTGCTCGTGCACAAAGAAAAGAGGCAAAGGAAAATAAGTTGCTATAAATGAAGACGTTCGCCAAGTGAATTATTCTTGGTGCAAACTGAAAAAAATTCGCCTAAATTTTTAAATTGCTCCATAAATTTCTTGTCAAAAATTACAAAATTTAATATCTAAGCATGATTTGTGTTAAAACTGAAATATGGAAAAAATTGGTATGCTATTTTAGAAAAAGTCCAATTTTTGTCAAAATGCCAAAGTTAGAAGAATGCTATATATAAATCTAATATATATCCTAAGTCGCGCTTTCGATACATGGAAAACACAATTTGAATTATGTCAATCGGCCCAGAAGAAAAGGCAATATAGAACTGTCTTTTTTTTCCTATATTTCAAAGACAAATGTTAAAATAATGCAAGAAATTAAATTTTTTATTTTCTTAAGAGTAAAAATCTGTCTGTAAAAAAAAAATATTTGGCAGAAACTGCAAAAGCACTTGCACATATGCATAAAATTTACAAACAAATACATTAAAAACTTTTGACTATTCTGGTTCTAAAAAATCCATCAAAATGAGCTCCAATTTCTATTAAGCTTTATTCAATAGAGATTTATAAATATGGAAATAGTACATTCTCTTATGAAATAATTTTAAAATTCAAATTTAGATATCATTTAAATGCAAAATTAAAACTAGTAAATTGCACATCAGATTAGCATGTATTTTAGAAATTAGCATGTATATTGCATGGATAGAAATGTATTACACTTATATTATCAATTTAGTATTCAATTTAAGTCCAACTTTATGGGGGGACTGTAACTCATTTACTGAAAGCTTTCCAATCAGTTTTTTAAAGTTACATACTGGGGTTAAAAAAAAAAAGTTCATGCAAAAGAGCCAAAAGTTGCGTATGCAATGCAAAATCAAAACATTTAAACAAATGATTCAATTAAAAAATCTACTACAAACTTAGTTAACAGTTTAAAATACAAGATACCAGCATTACACAACATACATGTAAGGTTTTTAAGTAGGGTGATTTTATAAATCCATGAAACAAGTTACTGTGAATCCACGAAAACAAACACTTTCCCATTTGGATTACTTCCAGCTAGCACTGATTTACTAGGATGAAATCTATTAACTGCTGTAGCAGACAAATCTTCATCCATAAAATTATAAATATTTTTCATGTTATCATTCAATATTTGTATTCTTCCTGGTTGTGCCTCACTTCCAATCATAAAAACATCATCAGTTTCAGGAAGCCAAGTTGCTTGCCCAGTGAAATTACCATGCCTGAAAATAAATGTACCTAAATTAATTCATGCGTATGAAAACAATAACATAATTGAATACTGCATAACATATTTAAAATACACATTGACTCGCAATATGATCCAAATTTGGTTGTTTCTTTACATGTTTTACCAGACTAACAACAAACAATGAATAAAGTATTTTATTATAAATAAAATTTATTAGTCTAGTATTTCAGATTAATTAGAAATACATCCAAAATGAAAAAACTGTTATTTGGGTAACTAGAAGATAAAGATTTACATTTACCTAGCTATGTAGATGATACTTTCATAAGCATTAACCCATTTTATAATGGCAAAACTGCAACTATTAACCTTTTAGTGGTTGCAAGATTAAGCAGTCCTTTCTTTCCAAATAGGCACAATATCTCTCAGTCATAAATTCATAATGCAAGCTTGTTTGTTTACGGCCACTGTGGTGCATAACTGGAATGCGAGCTGAGCCTCTTGACCATCAAAGGTTAAGAGTACATATATCTATACATGTAACTATATATCCGTTCAAAATCAGTTACCTAAAAACATTAAATAAAATACTTCATGCAAAATTACAAACTTTATTATTACCTATTATTGTAGTAAACACTTTGTTGTGTGGGCCGTAGAAGCATCTACAAAGCTTCTTTATCTTGAAGATTATGTTTAATAACATTGAAATATATACACATAGAATAAACTTATTTCTCTTTAAAACAATCGTCTTTTGCTGAATGCATCTTAAGTCCAAATGTGTTCCAAACTGCATTCTTTTTATAGCTACCAAATCTTCCGACTTTTTAAGGATTTGATTCTCCTCTTCTTAAATTACAAGTCTTCTTGTTTTCTTCTTGAATTTTAAATATCCATTGCTTCGTATGCTTTCTATGTTCAGCTTCGATCAACTTGTCAGAACCTTCAGCATCTTTGCACCAAAGAGCAATTCAGAGGGTGTGGTATCCATACTTTGCTGGTATGTGACTTAATAGCCTGCTGAAATTCATTTGCATTTTATAGAACTGAGGCGGATTTTGAAAAGATAACTTTGAAAGAACTGATATGATAAGCTGACTGATACGTTCAACTTCACCTTTGGCTCTAGGCTGCCCAGAAGCAATCAAATGATGATTAATATTATTTTCAGAATAGTAATCGGGAAAAACACTGGAGGTGAGTGCTGTACCTCTATCTGAGATTATTTGGGAAGGACTGCCAAATACAGCCTTTTGCATCTCCAACTTCGATATGACTTCAGCAGATGTTGTGGACTTTGTAGGATAAATCAATATAAATTTAGTAAATGCTTTAATAATCACTAAGATGTGCTCATAATTTTTATGTGTACTCTACAAAGGTCCAAGGTGATTTAAATGATACATCTTTCTGCAATGGATGTAAAAGACCTTTCTTTGCTCTCTTCTAATTCACAAGAACATAATGAACACAATATCCTATGATATTTTCTACTTTCTGTCTGAGTTTAGGAATAAAATAATACTATTCGATGCTTTTCTCAGTATATTTCACTCCTATATGTGTTTTCTCATGGTCACTTCGTATGATTTCTGATTGCATACTTCCAGGCACAACCACTAATTCTTTACCATCAATAAATTCAAACAAAATTCCATTTCTGTCACAATAGTCTTCATAACTAGAACTTTTAAGTAATTCTTTAATCGCTTTTATTTTACTATATTTATCCTGCGCTGATTTCAACTTTAGTAAGATATTATCTACTGAAACGCACAAAATATTAATGGGAGATCTATTTAGGGCGTCAACATGAGCCATCCTAAAACCAAAACGATGCTCAATAACATAATTAAATTTGTATAGTAATAAAGCCCAAAGAGCAACACAAGTTGATAAGTCACTTTTTGACATAGTCTTTTCAAACACAGAACAGTCAATGACAATTTTAAAAGGAATTCCCAATAGGTATACATGAAATTTCTTTAATGTTTCTATGATTGCAAGAGCTTCAAGTTCGTAACTAGAGTATTTCTTTTCAGCATCTGTCGTCTTCTTATTCAGGAAACAGGTACTAGTAGGGTGGAAACTACTATCGTTTGGAGACCTCTGGATTAAAATTGCTCCATATCTTGCTAAGCTGGCGTCAGTGTGTTACTATGAATTTCATAACTAGGATTACAGATTCCTAAGACAGGTTTCTCAGCTAATAATGTCTTTAAACGATTAAGTGAATTTCTTTCGTCCGTGTCAAATATAAACTTTCGGTCTTTCTTCAAGAGATCACGCAAGGGCTTAGCAATAATGGAATATTTTGGAATAAACTTCCTTAGATATCCAATGAGTCCCAGAAAACTGTGAATCTGTTTCAAATTAATCGGTTCTGGAAAATTAAGAACAGCTTTCGTTTTTAAAGGAGATGGAAAAAAAATTACCTTCCTCAATAACATGAACCAAAAATTCGATTAGCTTCCTTAAAAAAATGAGATTTCTTGAAATTAATCTCCAGTCTGTATTCATTAGACAGTTCAGTCCGTATTTAAAACTCGTTCAAGTTATTTGATGCCTTCTTCAAGGGAGGACGACAAGATTATTACGTCATCCACATACGTCAAAACAATACCACAGGGTTCGTACACATTTTTGCACATGGAAATAAAGTACTTTTAAGGACCATTAATGAAAAAAAATTAAGGAGCTATCAGCAAATGGAACCTAAAAAAATTGAATAAAATTCAATCAACATATGTCTGAACTCAGTTTTTGTAATAACCCTCTAAGAATAGAATAGATACATAAGTAGGATGCATTCTTATTAAACATAAACAGGTTTCGTACACATTTTTGCACATGGAAATTAAGTACTTTTAAAGACTACTAATGAAAAAAATTAAGGACCTATGAGCAAATGGGAACTGAATAAATTCAATTAAAAATATTATTCTATGCCTGAATTTCACTTTTGTAATACTTACCTAAAAATAAAATAGATCCCTAAGTAAAATGCATTATTACTAAACATGAATTAATTAACATAATTATGAAAAGTTTGAGAATAAAAAAAACTTTATGCAATTTATCAAGTAGCATTAAATATTTTACACTTATAATAGTTGGACATATTTGAAAGAAGATAAGTGACATTTACGTTTTACTAATAGTTAGCTTTATGTTGACTTTTTATGTCTCATTTTGTCACATACTTGGTCAGTTTAGAGATTTAGTAAATAGCAGGTATTAGATTTTATCTTAAGCGGCATAGGTTAAAATGAGAAGTAAGATCATGTCAGTATGATTCATAATAAAAGAATCACCGCTGTTGATTGTCCAGAGACAGACATGCTGATTTGAACAAATCTGAAAGGCCTGATGTAGGCACGGTTGGCAAGTGTTGAAATTTAGTCAGGCTCTGTTTGATGCAGTTAGTGTCATAGCTTTGTGTAGAGTTCCAGAGGTTGTAACCCAGTTAATATACTTTAAGGTCCCAATAAGCCATTAAAGCACCAGAGGTGATAAGTTGTTTTGTATTAAGTTTCATTAGATGCAAAGAATAAGTTTACTTGAATTTTTACATTTGTGTGTTATATCTTGTGACCACAGTGAGTATTAATGAAAGGCAAATAACTCTCTTTAATATGTAGAGATAATTTTTATGGGTAAGCAGTTAATTATAAATGATTAAATTAGGTAATTAGATAACCTTAGTCATTATGGATTTACATGGCTGCTATTAAATTTTATTTTTTAACAATATTTGTTAAAAAAAAGCCCTATTAAAATTACAATTTAATTGAATTTCACAGTTTAAAATACATGTAATTTATGACATTGATATTTAAATGATATTAGGATAATTACACATTAAAAGCTACAAAAAAGTTCTGTTTTGTAATAACAACACTCAACAAAATATCTATCAGTCATTTTAATTTAAAGCCTTCCCAAACCTTTTGGCTAGTTTACATCAATTTCCTTCTTTTTAAGCATCTTTTCTAACAATGAGATATTTTTCTCAATATGCAAACCAATGCTCTCGCTAGTTTCTGCCTGCTTTATCTCCTAACTTATCAACCTCTCCACAATGTACCTACTGGGATTTTCTTGACCTGGTAAAAGTTAAATAGTCCCAAACCCAAGACAGACATGAAACAAATTATTGCTATGACTGAAAGTACTACAATATCAGACAAAGGTTTAAATAAGCCTCTTATTTAAAAAGAATTTATAACATAAAGGCATGTTCTGATGTTAACAAAATCAATTACAGCTCACGGTGATGTAATTAAACAAGAGCAGTCAAATTCAAACTCCAAATGTGGACTAGTGGTTAAAGATTATAACAATTTAATTTAATCTGGCTCAGTAACTCTTATCATCTGAGGAAAAAGAAATGGAATTATAGTAAAGGCTGAAATCATAAACAATTGGGTAATTTACTTAATAATAACTGCACATATCCTTGAACAATAATTTTCTTTATGTATTCAGTTTCTTTCTACAACCCCTTTACCTATTCATTTTAGAATTTTGGGATTTAATTAAGGATTTCTGTTATTCTAAAACACACTAAATGCATTTAGAATATATAGAAAAAGTGGCTAATTTTATTTCTTTAGTAATATGTATATTCAGAAGAAATATGAAATATATATGGTAAAGGTCGGTTACAGAGCTGGTTTGGCAGAATTTTTAGAATTTAGTGACACACCGAACAACAAAATATAGAAATGGCAAAACTTTTAGAATTTAGAGCACACATTGGAAGCAGAATTTAGGATCCACAGAGAGTGCATCAGGTGGGAAAATACCTAGTGCCAGCTATGTGTATGTTGCATTAAGACATATTAGATGAATCTTTTAAATTTAAGTTTTCAATTTGTTTATTAATAAAAAAAATCCTTATCTATAATGCCTGCTCAAGTGATAAGATTAAAAGCATTTTTGATATTTTCCATGTTTGTGTCTAGTGAAAAGTAGAGAAAATAAAGGGAAGATAAACATGTTAAGAAAAAGATTCTAGTATCAGGA